TCGGGACAAGCTCTCTTTTGTGTGCGGACGGATGAGTGAGACACCTACGGAGCCTTTTTCCAGATGTGCCTGAGCGAGAGGGGTCTGGGGCTCTTTGTGCGTTGCGATTTGTTTAATTTATGAGTTTTTTTGCCTCTCGGGGAGCGCCCTCAGAAAGTGAAGGCGCGACTCCTGCGAAGCCGGGGAACTTCTTAACCTTTTCAATACGTTTGCAAAGCTTTTTCCAGTTTTTGTCTACCCTCCCCCGCAGAGGGAGGAGGCGACCTCAGTGTATGTAAAACTTTGTAGCTCTGAATGTGTCGTGTGTGTCCCCCCCCCAGCCCCTTCTTCGTTGTTTTAACCTTACAGATTTTATAGCTGGTAGGACTTTTCTGCAGAGCTTTGTAACTTTGGGCCAGGCTGGGAGAACTTTCTGGAATGAATGTGTGCCGGAGGATAAAAAGTAAGGAATAACTCCTAAAAATCTGGTCACGCTGTATGTTTTGCTATAGTTCTCCTCCCCACCCTGCTCAGTTGGGAGGAAGCTGGCAAATAGGGGAAGTACAGATGCTGTGTGTCACGCTATAGCGCAGGGCTGGCTTCTCCTGGGGCTCCCAGTGTGGCCAAACTGCTTTCTGCCAGCAGAGGTGAAGAGTAAAGACACAGCTCTCCCTCTCCTTAGGTTCCTCCTCCTTTCCTTACCCCAGGAAAGGAGCTAAGCTTTGGGAAGTGGTGCCTTGTGGTGCATCACAGGTGGCAGACCCACCGTGGGACCTTCTGGGAGGTGACCCCACGGCTGAGGGGAGGTGTCACTTGGTTCTGTCTCCCTGTTTCTCTTCACTCTCTTGTTAGAGTGAGGCAACTAATTATCCTGACCGCATCCTTTGGGGGACATCTTTCCTCAGAGCTCCGCTTGAGTCATCTTAAATGCTGTTAGAGCAGGCAGAAGAATCTCTCCCCTCGGGGAAAATGTGAGGACATGAAGGATTTGAGATTAGGTCTGCTGGTGTGACACTCCCTCTCCAGCAGCTTTTAGAACAGCGCCACAAGACACACACATAAGCTGTGTGTTTCTGGTTAAGGCTTAGATGCTACTGGCAAGGCTGTGGGGCTGGTGGAGGGGTGGGGGTGACTCTCCACAAGGCCAGCCTTTCTCAGCATTTCTCTTATTTGGTCTGTGTGGAGGTGAACCGATAAACAGAAAAGTGAGGATGAGCAGGGGCAGCTGCTGGATGGAGACAGCTCTGGGCAAAAAGGGCCTTAAGTGTGACATAGCATACCAGGAGATAGGCCGCTTTGGGTTAAGGGGAGATGGCAGCTGCTGGTAGCAAAGCCACCACTTCTGTGAAGCAGCCCATGTCCCAAGACTGTCTCTGTGTCCCAAGACACCTCTGGTGTGGGTCGTGATCAGAAGTGATGTTGTCACTGTGGTGTTCTCCTCACTCTTGTTAGAGTGAGGCAACTAATTATCCTGACCGCATCCTTTGGGGGACATCTTTCCTCAGAGCTCCGCTTGAGTCATCTTAAATGCTGTTAGAGCAGGCAGAAGAATCTCTCCCCTCGGGGAAAATGTGAGGACATGAAGGATTTGAGATTAGGTCTGCTGGTGTGACACTCCCTCTCCAGCAGCTTTTAGAACAGCGCCACAAGACACACACATAAGCTGTGTGTTTCTGGTTAAGGCTTAGATGCTACTGGCAAGGCTGTGGGGCTGGTGGAGGGGTGGGGGTGACTCTCCACAAGGCCAGCCTTTCTCAGCATTTCTCTTATTTGGTCTGTGTGGAGGTGAACCGATAAACAGAAAAGTGAGGATGAGCAGGGGCAGCTGCTGGATGGAGACAGCTCTGGGCAGAAAGGGCCTTAAGCACGACATAGTATACTGGGAGATGGGCCGCTTTGGGTTAAGGGGAGATGGCAGCTGCTGGTAGCAAAGCCAGTGCTTCTGTGAAGCAGCCCATGTCCCAAGACTGTCTCTGTGTCCCAAGACACCTCTGGTGTGGGTCGTGATCAGAAGTGATGTTGTCACTGTGGTGTTCTCCTCATGATGCCATCAGCTCTGCTAGAACTACCACCAAGTGGTTCGTTGCACTGTAGTGGGATGGTGGAACACGAGGCAGAGGTCTCTGAAGAAAGGCTACAGGTCTTTTTAATAGCTCCAGCAGCTCACTGGGAAGCTGCGGACTGGAGGGGGTTGATCAGTCCCTTCCGACTTGAAAGTCTGTTGACCACTACAGGTCTGAGGGATTGAGAACAGACCTTGTTGATTACTCTTTCTGCCTTGGTCCTTTCCCATGCTGGTTCATGTGGGAGACGCTCAGCCCAGCTTTTGGCTGCTGCTTACTGTGGGCAGCCTCTTCCTCCTTTTGAAAAGCCCAGAAGAGTTCGTCAAGGTGCATAGAACCATAGAATTGCCTAGGTTGGAAGGGACCTTTCAGGTCATCGAGTCCAACCCTCAACCTAACACTGACAAAACCCATCACTAAACTTTGGGTTGCTAAGCCCCACGCCTGCCCATCTTTTAAATACCTCCAGGGATGATGATGCCACCGCTCCCCTGGGCAGCCTGGCGTGCAGCTCCTCAGCCCTGCACAAAGGCAGCAGGGTGGACTGCACAAGCAAAGACTGAGGGGAGACCTTATTTATGTTTATAAGTATCTAAAGGGTGAGTTGAAGGATGTTGGAGCCGGACTCTTTTCAGTGGTTTCCAGTGATAGGACGAGGGGCAACGGGCTCAAGCTGGAACATAGAAAGTTCCATTCAAATATGAGAAAAAACTTCTTTCCAGTGAGGATAGCAGAGCCCTGGAACAGGCTGCCCAGGGAGATCGTGGAGTCCTCTTCTCTGGAGATCTTCAAGACCCTCCTGAGTGATGTGCTCTGGGCAACCCTGCTTTGGCAGGGGAGTTGGACTAGATGATCTCTAGAGGTCCCTTCCAACTCTGACAATTCTGTGATTCCGTGACTTAACATTTGTCTGTGTTGTCACGTGTTTGTCACCTGGAGAAGCTGTTGCAGGTCGCTATATCTTGCTGTACGGCGTGCACCCCGTCATGGAAGCGTTAAGGACGGGGTGTGCGGGTCTTATCGGCAGCCACGGGTGAATTAAGGGTGGGCGGATGTTTGTGGCACCGAGGGCTGCCTGTCCCCAGCAGCTGTTATTGTCCCCACGGGAGAAGGCCGGCAGCCTGGAGGGACGCTGATTGGGACCTGCCAAGCTGAAAGGCTGGCACAGGCCCCTGCGGAAGGGCTATTGTGCCGGGGTGTTAGGGGGGGCTGCAGCCGTGCCAGCCGGGCCTTCGCAAACAAAGCATCTTGGCTTCGTGGCCGTTTCTTCTAGCACGGCGGGGATTTCTGGCCTGGAGGGCGGGATGGGGGAGGCTGGGGGGGGGTGGACCTAGAAACGCGGCCTCTCCCAGCCGGCTTGGTTGGGGAGAGGGGGCTACCCCTTTTCTCCATTTGAGCCCGGTGGGGAGAAAGGAGGGAGGGGGAGAGGGTTGGTTGGGGCTTCATGGTGGGGGTGAGGGGGGCTTACCCCCAGTTCCACCACACGGGCCACCCTTGCGTGGGGCGACAGGACAGGAGGGACCCCCGGCTGCAGCCCCACAAGGGATGGGGATGGGGGGGCGGCGGCGGCCGGGGGAGCCATGGCTTCCTGACGGGGGCGGAGCGGGCGCCGGCGCAGCCTGGTGAGGGGTGGGGGGAGCCACCAGTCACCCTCCATGGGGAGAGAGGGAGGGAGAGGGGGGAGACGGGCAGGAAGGAGAGAAAGCGGAGGTGAGATCCTGAGGGGGATGCTCCACCCGGGGATGTGACACCCAGGGAGCCCCTCAGCTGCCCTGTGTGGTGGTGCCGCGGCTGCCGGCCCTCCGCCGGCACGCAGGGGTCTGGAGGTGAAGGATGGAGGGGTGTTTGTGAGGTTGGGGGGCCAGAGGGGGTGAAGGGGGACCTTAACTGTCGAGGGGAACCGGCTGGCATTACTGGGTAAGCTGGGGAGAGAGGAGATGCCAATTCCAGTTCTGGGAGAGCTGTTATGGGGGCACCCTCCTCCCTTGGGGTGTGTGGGGCTGGGTGTCCATGGCAGACAGCCCTCATGTCGGTGGGCCGCTGCCACCCTGTCCATCCTGCGTGCTGGCAGGGCTCTTCTGCAGCAAAGAGCTTGGTTTTCTCTGCTGCAAGAACCCCCTGTGCGGTCGGTGTCAGGCTGGGTTGAGATGATGAAGATGATGAAGATGATGAAGGGGATCATTTGAGCTGTCTGCAGTTTCTGTTCCTCCTTTCTCTTCCCTGGAAGTGCTCTCCTCGGGCACCTCAGCCTCTGACCAGACTTCAGTTCCTGTATCCCTCTGTTTCACATGTTCCTCTCTATTAACGTTCACTCCGGCCCAAGGCTGAATTCATACAGCTTTCTTCCCTCTTCTCTTATGACAGGTGCTGAGAAGATGGCCTCCCCGGGTGCCCCAGGGACCCGCATGACGTCCACAGTCAGTATCAACATTTCTACTCCTTCCTTCTACAACCCACAGAAGAAGTTTGCACCCGTGGTCGCCCCGAAACCTAAGGTGAACCCCTTCAAGGCTGGGGGTGCGTCAGAGCCGTCGATGCCCCCGCCTCCTGCAGCTGGTGCCCAGCGTGCTCAGATAGGGAAGGTGGGGGAGATTCCATCAGCGTCCATGTCCTTTCTGGTAGAAGGTAGGTGAGGGCTGACGTGGCAGATGTGAATATGCATTTGTAACTTCTCAGGGTGTGGGGTTTGTAACTGGGTTAAACATGAGAATGGGGGCATAACTACTGGAAGCGATAGATGTCTTGCTGTAGAGACTGGCGAGTTCCAGAACGAGATAAAATGATTGTAAAGGGATCTGAAAATCCGTAGTGTCTCCATTAGGAAAGGAGCCAGGAAGGCAGTCCTCCATTGCACTGATGCTGGAGGAATGTAATGGATTTTTCATAGTATTCCCTGGGTGCATAATTGTGTAACTGCAGTCAGTTTCTGGCCAGCGTGTCTGAGAGCAAATATGTTGCAGGGAAGTTGACCCTGATGGTGAAGAATCGTGCCATTCTCCTTGTTGATTTATTTTGGCTCAAGTTGGTTGTCTCTGACTGTAGAGGTCCTTCTCTTGGACTCTGCCAAAGAATTGCCATCTTTGCTGCTGAAGAGGGGGAGGAAGAAATAATGGCATGAAAAAATAGTAGAAGCTATCATAAACAGGAAGTGAGACTTAAAGTTTGCACAGCTTGTGGAGTTTTATACTTTTTCTTAGTGGCTTGGGTTGGGTGTGTTTTCCTGTGTAGAGTGACTTCTTGCTTTAGTGTTCTTTTCTTTTTCTGTCTCTTTTTTTTTTTTTTTTTTTTTAATTTCCTGTGGTGGTGGGATGGGTTTTTGTGGGTTTGGTTGTTTGGGGTTTTTTTGTTGGTTGGTTGGTTGGTTGGTTGGTTTTATCCCTTCTAAGAAGCAGCAGGTACCTGGTTGTGTGGCTCCCTAGTTGGGATTGATCAGCATGGGGCTGCTGGACGTTTCCCTAGGGATTTCTTGCTAATGCTTGATGCTGCTTGTTACCCCAAGACACTGTCAGGGTGCACTTCAGTCGGGACACGCATGCTCAGATAACGATAGCTGCTGTTTGAAATTGTCTAGCGTAGGCTGTGCAACACTGGTTTTCTAGGTTAGCATGCTAAGTTGGTGGGCAGCTGACCTGATGGCAGGAAGGCTGGTCCTGTGCGCAGAGGAGACAAATTATTAAGTCATTTTTTCCATTTCTTGAGTCGCAAAGTCCTCGGAATGTTGATGTTTCTGTCTCCTAAAATTGTACCAGCTAACTCTGGTGACCTTTTTCTCCTATGTTGTTGGCTGGAATCTTGTGTCTGTAATCCAAGGTCCCATCTTAGGCTTTATGATTTTCTGCTATAGTTGTGTGAATTAGGGATGTGCCTGTCAGGTCTTAAGCTGACACAAATACATTATCTGAAGTACAAAAGTAGTAGACAGATGGATGTTAAAAATCATTTTACAACAGGCAGTGCGAGTGGAGGATTGGGTGTTGTTTTCTCCACTATGGAAGAACTAACTTGACAGAAACATCAGCAAAAAAACCCCTATTTGGCTTAAGCTGCTGTGTCACCAACGGGTGAGGGCTGCCAGCAAAACATCTGAAGTACAGATGAACCACCAAAACTCAGTCAGGAGAGAAATGCGTCTGATTTGATCCTTTGTCTATTTTTGTCAGTTAGGTTGACGGTTGGACAAGATGATCTTTAAGGTCCCTTCCAACCTAGAAGATTCTGTGATTCTGTGATTCCCTGATGCATCTCTTCAGTCTCTTCAAAATCTCTCCCTTTCCTAGACATTGCCAAACACATAGCAGTACAACATAAAGCCATGGAAATTGGTCTCTTTGTCTTAGATGACAGGATGGCTAAGTTACTATTGCTGTAGGAATATTATGTTTAGTATTGATCATTCTATAAATCTGGTAGAGTAACTTTGGGGGGGACTTTTTATTTGTGTGAATAATTCATAAAATAGGCTTTTAGTGCGTCTGAAACAATGTGACAGTAGATCAGGGCTTCGTTTCTGCAATATTCTTTATCGTTTCAATAAATCAAAAGGCAAGCAGATACAAACTTGATCCCAAACTGTAGTTTTAATGAAAAAATACCAGCCCAGTGTTAATTCCCCCCAGGCAGAGTTGCTACGACACAAGAAGGCTTGGAAGAGGTGCTGCATGCCAGTGCAGTTTGTGCATGTCACTGGCTAGTAAGATTTTGGCTTTAATTTTCTGAAAGGCCAATATCATCTCCCTTAGATTACAGATGAGAAATCTTTGTGAAGTCTGTTGACAACAGCTGGATATAAAGATGAGACAATTTGATTCGCGCTGTTAAAGGTTGCACATGGTGTATCAAGAGTGAAAAACATGGTCTTTTCACCCTATGGCTTGTTGGGGCTAGCTAGGAAAAGAGGTGGATGTCCAGAAGAAGGGATGTGGAAGCTATGCCTCCTTGTCATCTTCAGTGTTTTTTGTTGCTTGGATGATAAGAGGATGACTTCTCCCATATGTGGTGAAGAGAAGAGGATTCACATTTATTTCACTGTATTGTCGTGGAAAATGTCTCTTTTTTGCCTGCTCTGCTGCTTGGATGATAAGAGGACGACTTCTCTGGTGAAGAGAAGAGGATTCACATTTATTTCACTGTATTGTCGTGGAAAATGTCTCTTTTTTGCCTGTTCCATACCTTTGGGCAGATGTGAATAGGTGGAAGCAATGGGATTTTCTTCTAGGAGATGGAGGCACCGTGGTGCTTTTCAGCCTGCTTAAAGGGTTCTGGAAAATTTCTTATGTGCTATTGAGCATGAGGACGTTTTAGCCTCTAGAAGGAAAGCTGTTTTCACCTCCCCAAAAAATAAAGCAGCTTCAAAGATTCCCCATATGCATAAAGGGAAGTTGGTCCAACATCCTTTTTTTCCCCACACTTGTTGGTTACAGGGCTTCCTTGCCAGCTGGGAGGTGCAAGCTTATTTTCCTGTAGCAATGCGGGTTCTTTGGGGCCCTGGGTTGTCTGCTGGTGTTCCTTCTACTGCCACTCTCAGTTCAGCCATCTGAGCCAGTTACTGGGGAGAGAAGCGTATGCTAAGGGACCAAAGAATGAGAGGAGGAGTGAAAAAAGGGCATAGTAAGTTACTTTGCCCAATTATACAAGAGCTGTTCCCAGTGACTAATTGCAGTAGCTGTTGAGGAAAGTTTATAGGATGGCAGATAGTTCTGGACAAGGTGAAAGCCAGCCTGTGGAGCTGATTTGTCCTTGACGGGCGCTGGGGTCCCCTGGGTACTGAGGAACTACTTGCTCGCTTCAAGATTCCTTCAGGGGTTTGTGCTGGCTAAAAGTAATAAATGATCCAAAGTTGCTTTTATTCTCATTCTTCCTCGTAGACCTGCCACCGCCACCTCCTCCCCCACCTGGAGAGGAGGCAAGTTTCTCCTCAAACTGTGCTTTTCCACCACCCCCACCACCCTTTGAAGAGCCTTTTCCACCAGCCCCAGAAGAAGCTTTTCCTTCCCCTCCTCCTCCTCCGCCGCCGATGTTTGATGAAGGTGCTGTGAGCATGGTACCTGCCCCACAGGTGAGTGAGGTCAAGGGGATGTATGGTTTCTTGTGATGCTCTGTGAGCTGGGGCAGCTTCTCGCTACTCTCCGAACTCAGCAGCAGGAAGCCCTGAGATCTGGGAAAGCTGAAAATGCTACCATCTGATAGTCCAGCGTAGGTTAGGGTGTCAACTTGGCTGGGCTGCATCTCTGCAGATGAAGGACCTGGGGTTCCTGGTGGACAGTGAGTTGAATGAGAGCCAGCAATGCACCCTTGTGGCATCCTGGGCTGCATCAAAAGATGCGTTGCCAGCAGGTCCAGAGAGGTGATTCTTCCGCTTTACTCTGCTCTGGTGAGACCTCACCTGGAGTATTGTGTGCAGGTCTGGAGCCCTCAATATAAGAAGGACATGGACCTGATGGAGCAGGTCCAGAGGAGGGCCACAAGGATGATCAGGGGGATGGAGCACCTCTGCTACGAGGACAGGCTGAGGGAGCTGGGGTTGTTCAGCCTGGAGAAGAGGAGGCTCCGGGGAGACCTAATAGCAGCCTTCCAGTACCTGAAGGGAGCCTACAGGAAGGCTGGGGAGAACCTGTTTAGAAAGGCCTGTAGTGACAGGACAAGGGGCAATGGCTTCAAGCTGGAGGGGAACAGATTTAGACTGGAGATCAGGAGAGGGTTCTTCACTGTGAGGGTGGTGGAGCACTGGAACAGGTTGCCCAGGGAGGTGGTTGAGGCCCCATCCCTGGAGATATTCAAGGAGAGGCTCGACGAGGCCCTGGGCAACCTGGTCTAGTTGGGGGTGTCCCTGCTGACTGCGGGGGGGTGGGACTAGATGACCTTTGGAGGCCCCTTCCAGCCTGGGCAATTCTATGATTCTGTGAATAAAAGCCAACCATACACTGGGCTGTGTTTGTGAGAGGGTAGTCAGCAGGACAAGGACCATGATCATTCCTCCCTCTTCAGTCCTAGTGAGGCTGCGTCTTGGAGGACTGTTTCCAGTTGGGCTCCCCAGTATAGCAACCCCAGAGGAATACTGAACTAGATGCAGTCCAGCAAAGGGTCTTAGGGATCATCTGGGGGTTGGAGCATGTGATGCAAGAGCTGGGTTTGTTCAGCCTGCAGAAGAGGAGGCCAAGGCAGGGACCTAACTGCAGTCTGCAATACCTAAAGGAGAGCTGGAGAGACAGCAGATTCTTCCCTCTGGGGCATAACAAGAGACAATGGACACAAGTTCCAGCAAGGGAGATTCCTGTTGGACAGAAGAAAAACCTATTCCCCTGCAGGGGTGGCTCGACACTGGCACCAGGTGCCTAGAGAAACCTGTGTCCTTGGGGTTCTTCAGAAATCACCTGGACAAGCCGCTGAGTAACCTGGTCTAGTTTAAGAGTCAGCCCTGCTGGGAGCAGGCTGTTGGACTTGAGACCTCCAGATGTCTTTTCCCACCTAAATCTGTCTGTGAGCTCCTTTGGGCTGTGCGTTTTCCCACTGTTTGTAGAACTTGGAGACTGTGTCCTCTTCATCCTCACCAACTTGCTCTCCCCTCAAAGCAAGGAGCAGATGTGTACCACAGTCCAAAGTATCAAAATCTGCCATTGTGAGGGGATACACCCCGTTCTCTGGCTGTTCCTGTAATGTGCTCTGCTCCCTCTTTCCTCACGGATGGTGGTGTAGGTACGTGGCAAGATGAGCAGCGTTGATCTTGAGTTTGACTCACTGTCCCTAATGTTGGATGACATGGAGAAGAATGACCCCTTCAAACCCCGGGTGAGCTCTCCAGAATGTTGCAGGTGGAAGGAGAACTGACTGGTTTGCTGAACAGAGGTAGTGAGAAGGGTGCTACTGAAGGTTAAAAAGTCTGGATTAAACCACAGCACGGAAGTGTTTGTGAAGGACCAGAAAGCATAGATTTTGAAACTTACCAGGACTGCTAAATATATAACAGTGTGGGAACTCCTGGCATCGTGGGTCTGGGATAGCTGCTGATTTACTGCTATACACAGCATATTTTCTCTTTCACCTTGCTGATAACCGCCTGTTTCTCTCTGCTGCTTCCCTTTACAGATACCTCCAGCATCCACAGGTTCTCCGGAGAAACCATCACCCCCGAAACCCTATGTGGAAATACCATCTGCACCCAGAGATGCTCCTCAATCCTTTCCTTCCAAGTTCACTCCAAAGTCCAGTGGAAGCTTATCTTTCAAGCCCCATGGAGTGGATTCGACCCCCTCCCCAAGTGCATGGGTAGCCCCACAGCAATGCAAGGAGCCTCCAGCACCAGTCCCTCCACCCCCGTCTCTCCCTCCTGCTCAGCCTACCCCTAAATTTACCCCACCTGCTGTTGCTGGCTCTCCGAAGTCTGGGTCCAGACCAGGAGCCAATGTTCCCATGGCTCCCTCAAACTCTACAAGATATCCTACCTCCTTTCAGACTCAGTTCACAGCCCCTTCACCTTCAGGTCCCTCCTCACGGCCTCCCAATTTCACCTATGCCCAGCAGAGGGAAAAACCCCAAGTGCAGGAGAAGCCACGTCCCACAGAACAACCTGCTGCTGCAAAAGACATGGTAAGAGACAGAGTGAGGACTGGTGTCTTTGGACAGGCACAGCATCACTGGGAATGGAGGATGAGGAGGGAGGGTCTGTCCCAGGCTAGGGGAAGCTGTTACCCCTCTGAAGGAGAGATATAACTAGAGACAGTGGTGGAGAGGAATAGGACTACATGTAAAGGTAGAAAGAAGCAAGCACAGTGGATGGCAGGTTGTTCCCTAGAAAGAGACAGGAGAAGTAAAGATGAGAGAAGTAGGTTTATTAGTGACAGGGTGAGAAGGAGTCTGTTTAGTATGAGGAAGAGGAGGCTTAGGGGAGACCTCATCACTCTCTACAACTTCGTGAAAGGACACTGTAGAGAGGTTGGTGCTGGTCTCTTCTCACAGGTAATTAGTGACAGAACGAGAGGGAATGGCTTCAAGCTCCAACAGGGTAGGTTTAGACTGAACATTAGGAAAGAATTTTTCACCGAAAGAGTGGTCGGGCATTGGAACAGGCTGCCCAGGGAGGTGGTGGAGTCACCATCCCTGGCTGTGTTTAAGGGACGTTTAGATGCAGTGCTAAGGGACATGGTGTAGGGGATGACCTTGTAGAGTAGGGTAGATGGTTGGACTCGATGATCCCAAGGGTCTCTTCCAACCTAGACGATTCTATGATTCTATGATATGTGTCCTGAATGTTTCCTCTTCCTGCAGCATAGACCCACAGGCTCCAGTGCAGATCCACCTAGGGGAAACTCCTGTCTGACCATGAAGGAGGTAGAAGAGCTGGAGATGTTGACCCAGAAACTAATGAAGGATATGGAGCATCCACCCCCAGCAGAGGCTGCTACTTCTGGTGCGTTCCCTCAGTGGACAGCAGTAGGACTAAGACTGTGGTGGGTTTTCATCTCTCCTAATCCCTTTCTTCTTCCATTGACAGAGCTCTGTGGCTTCTGCCGGAAGCCCCTGTCGCGAACCCAGCCAGCTGTGAAGGCCCTGGACTCCCTCTTCCATGTGGAATGCTTCACCTGCTTCAAATGTGAGAAGCAGCTGCAGGGGCAGCAGTTCTACAATGTGGATGAGAAGCCCTTCTGTGAGGACTGCTATGCTGTGAGTCACTGGGATGAAAGCTGCCGGAGAGAGCTGAGCTTGCTGTGGTTGCTCTCTCTTGCTTTCCCTTCCTCCTTAGAATCATAGAATGGTTAGGGTTGGAAGGGACCTCAAAGATCATCTAGTTCCAACCCCCCTGCCATGGGCAGGGACACCTCCCACCAGACCAGGTTGCTCAAGGCCCCATCCAGCCTGGCCTTGAACACCTCCAGGGATGGGGCATCCACAACTTCCCTGGGCAACCTGTTCCAGTGTCTCACCACCCTCACAGTAAAAAATTTCTTCCTGAGATCTAATCTGAATCTTTTTTCTTCCAATTTAAAACCGTTTCCCCTTGTCCTATCATTACCCTTCCTGGCAAAGAGTCCCTCCCCAGCTCTTCTATAGGCACCCTTCAGATATTGAAAGGCCGCTATAAGGTCTCCCCGGAGCCTCCTCTTCTCCAGGCTGAACAATCCCAGCTCCCTCAGCCTCCTTCCGTCTTGCCTGTCTCTAGCGTAGCCTCTTAGGGGCGAGGGCTTGTATTGATGTGTCTTTTCTTGCTTCCTTTGGGCTCAGGGGACCTTGGAAAAGTGCAGTGTCTGCAAGCAGACCATCACGGACCGGATGCTGAAGGCCACTGGTAACTCATACCATCCCCAGTGTTTCACCTGCGTGATGTGCCATACCCCTCTCGAGGGGACCTCTTTTATTGTGGACCAGGCCAACCAGCCTCACTGTGTGGATGACTACCACAGGTACGGAGGGAGCATGTGCCATGTGGTGTCCAAACAAAGGCAGATCCCCCTTGCACATGTTTGATTTTGCTGCAATATGGGGTTGGGTTGCCCATGTCATCTGTTGGGCATGAGATGAAAAATGAGTCAGTGACGAATCTCATAGCAGTTGAGGTCTTTTTCCCATCTAAACTTCAGTGTGATTTATTATTCCTCTGCTGTTAATACTAATGTACAGACATGAGATTAAAAATGAGTCAGTGACAAATCTTGTAGCAATTGAGGTCTTTTTCCCATCTAAACTTCATTGTGATTTCTTATTCCTCTGCTGTTAATACTAATGTACAGCAGTGAGAAACTTGCATTGAATGTCACCACGGTGGTCGTGATGTCCTCCCTGTTCCTGTGTGTTGCAGGAAGTACGCTCCACGCTGCTCGGTGTGTAGTGAGCCTATCATGCCAGAGCCTGGGAAGGATGAGACAGTGCGTGTGGTGGCACTGGAGAAGAACTTCCACATGAAATGTTACAAGTGTGAGGTAAGCCTGATGACCCCGCTCCTCCCATCTCCCCCGTGCCCATCACCAGCAACTGGGCACCTTTGTTGTCTATCCTGACCAGACACTAAGGCTGTTTTGTCTCCTTGTTTCTGTGTGTTGCAGGAAGTATGCTCCACGCTGCTCGGTGTGTAGTGAGCCTATCATGCCAGAGCCTGGGAAGGATGAGACAGTGCGTGTGGTGGCACTGGAGAAGAACTTCCACATGAAATGTTACAAGTGTGAGGTAAGCCTGGTGGTCCCGCTCCTCCCATCTCTCCCGTGCCCATCACCAGCAACTGGGCACCTTTGTTGTCTATCCTGACCAGACACTAAGGCTGTTATGAATTAATCTGGAGCATTTGCAAAGCAGGTTGAGGAAAAGATTAGGTCATAGCATCGTAGAATATCTGGAGTTGGAAGGGACCCATTAGACATTCAGAGACCACAGGTCCATAAACAAGGACTGTGCAGGGTTGTAGTCTCTGATGTCCCTAATACAGGTTGGGCAACGTGCCGGGGTCACAGAAGGAGCGTGCTCTTCCCTCAAAACAGTATCTTCTGTGAAGCACCATCAGAGACAGAGCAGTGGGTTTGAGTCATTGTCCTGATCCAGTGGTGGGGCATTTCTTAGGTCCTCGACCGCGTTTGCCCTGCTGTTGGCTGCCATTGAGCTCCTCTCCTCTCTATTGCTCTCTACAACTCCCTGAAAGGAGGGTGTAGAGAGGTGGGGGTCGGTCTCTTCTCTCAAGTCACAGGCGACAGGACAAGAGGAAATGGCCTCAAGTTGCCCCAGGGGAGGTTCAGGCTGGATATTAGGAAAAATTTTTTCACTGAAAGGGTTCTCAGACATTGGAATGGGCTGCCCAGGGAGGTGGTTGAGGCACCATCCCTGGAGGTGTTCAAAAGACGGGTTGATGTAGTGCTGGGAGGTATGGTTTAGTGATGATGCTCCTTGTTTGTTGTGCGGGTGTCTATTTTTGTCAGTTAGGTTGACGGTTGGACAAGATGATCTTTAAGGTCCCTTCCAACCTAGAAGATTCTGTGATTCTCTTTCCCCGTTCAGGACTGCGGGAAGCCCTTGTCCATCGAAGCAGACGAGAACGGGTGCTTTCCGTTGGATGGGCACGTGCTGTGTATCAAATGTCACACCGTTCGTGCCAAAACGGCGCGCTGAGGAGCTCGGAGCGGGCGTCCCCTTGAGACCCCTGCACTCAATACTCTTCCCCTCCCCGCCGTTGTCCTATGATCGCTCCCAATGGAGACTCTGCCAGAGCAGTTCTTTAATCATGTAGGATTCACTGCTCCTAGACTTCGCTCTGCACGCCCACCAAGAAAGAACCTCTTGTCTCGTCACCGCTTCCTGGCCACCGCGTATTCCAGGCTGGGGGGGCTAATGAGCAAGGTGAGTGCACGATCTCTGTTCTCTCAAGACTCTGGAGGAGGAAGACCAGACCTCCACCACTGCCTGGTGGAAGGAGCAAGAACAACCTTGTGGCAGGTGCTGGGAAAGGCTGATGAGCGTTCTTCTGTTCCACGGAGCCAAGAATGATGATTTGACCTTAGAAGGTGGAAGCCTCCATCTCGGCACCACATCTGTCTTTGATTATTTTGATTTTGATTTTTGATTTTTTTCTTGTGACACCTCATTATCAGGATGTCTTCCCCTGCCCCCTCCCTCGCTCCTGGGTTAGAGTGTGGAGGCAGATCATATTGGGAATCTCCTACTGTTGCTGGAAGAAGTGAACCTACTATAGCTTTTCTGTCTCTAATGGATTTTAATGCCTAACTGTCTTAATGCCTTTTTTTTATTTTTTTTTTTCCTTAGCCAGATTAAACTGGCAATGTTTGGAATTCTACTCTATTCCTGAGTTTGGAAACTTTTTTTAAAAAATAAAAAATATATGTTTCTCTCCCCCAAATTAATTGTTTCCCAGTGTGGTGGTTTCTGGACAGCCAGGCTGGGCACCAGAGTAGCAAAGCAGTCCAAAGAATGCATGTTTACAAATAAAGACTGTCATAAGGACGGGCAGCACATGGTGAGGAGGCATCTCGGGAGCATGGATGAAGGTTGAGCAGACTGAGGGATGTCTCCCTGTTGCAGTAGGGGTTCTTTTTGCTGCTGTCAGTGAAAGCTGCAGTGTAATTGCAATGTACTGTCTGGCTCCAAGTGTTCCAGCACCGAGCCCCGCTCCCTGGACTAGAAACTCTCAAACTGAGCAAACCTTTTGAATAACTATACTGTCCAACCACTGTTTGCATTCAATAAAACGTGGGGTTTTTTTCCATTAACGTGTGTCTGCTGTATTTGTTCAGCCACCCGTGAGGATTGCTGTCCTAAGCAGTAGAGAATGTGTGTGTGGTTGCTATTCCACCTACCCTCCAGAGATGATGAGTCTGAAAATGGCCTTTCCACCTCTTGCTCTCCTTCTGAAACTGTTTGGTTTCCTACTTTTCTGTGCCTGAGGAGTAGCTCTCACTTAAAGCAGTGGAAGACTGTTTCAGTAGACAGTAAGATTGCAGTCTGCTTGATGGTGTAGTGATGATGCTCCTTGTTTGTTGTGTGGGTGTCTATTTTTGTCAGTGAGGTTGACGGTTGGACAAGATGATCTTTAAGGTCCCTTCCAACCTAGAAGATTCTGTGATTCTGTGTCACTGGGAGGCAAGTTATTAGTCAGAGTCAGAGTGGAACAAAGTGGTGGATTTGCTTGCTGGGCCTTCCCTGTTGCTGCTGAGAAAAGTCTACTGGCGTCAGAGTGGAACAAAGTGGTGGATTTGTTTGCTGGGCCTTCCCTGTTGCTGCTGAGAAAGCGTTTGTACTTGATGTTTATGGTTTTGAGCATGGTATCGTCTTGGTCACTGATGGTGAAACTCCTATTTGTGGTGAGCACCAACGGTTCTACACTTCAAAGCCATGAAACCTACTCTTGTTCTCTTGCTGGCTTTGACTCCTCTTTAATGACTCTTTGCAAATGGATCCAGGAAACGCTTTGAGGTTTCCTATAGGATGAGCAAAGAATAAATAGATTGTATATTTGCTTTCTTTTTCAAGTTCTTGCTGGTTTGTCGACATTGTTTTGAGTGGTTGTTTCTGGTTTATGTGATTGAAAGCTCCTCCCAGAGGTATCAGAGGACTTACAGCCCTGGTGTCTGGGTATGAGACCTGCCCAACAGAGTCAGTGGGAAGGGCTCTCTGGATCACCTTGCAGATAGACCAAGAGGTGGTTAGTCCCCTCTGAAGGGCATGGGGTGCAGGGGAAGAGCAGTTGGGGACTGTACAACACTGGTTATGGGATGTGTGGGGGCAGGATCAAAGGCAGGAAAAGGGATTGGTAAGGAAAGGAAGCAGCATGGCAACTCTTTGTGATTTTCTGATGTGAGGAGACTTGGCTCAGTGCGTGTGGAGGTCCAAGCACCAGCAACTGGAAACACCTGGGTGTGTCTGTGTGTAATCACTAGCAAAAATCGAGTCGGAGTAGCTGGTGAGTGAGTAGGGCAAGAGACTCGAGAGCCATGAGCTGGCAGGGCTGGGAGTCTGGCAGGATGATGGAGAGACCAGTCTGAGAGCCAGCTGCTAGAGCTCCCAGGAGGACCAAGCCAGCTACTCTTGGGTCTGGAAGTCAGCTACTGGGAAGCCTGGACCAGCTACCAGAGGAGAGTTTCCACCTGCGTGTGAGGTGACTGGGAGACCAGGGAGTCCTGGGGCCAGCTGCTGGGTAGAGTCAACATCGATGTCCCAATGTTTAAGGCTAATTACTGGAGGGCTTTGCCAGCTCAGGCTCCAGAACATCAACCCAGCTACTGGATAGCTGGTCTGAGACCCCAGAGGGACCCATAGTATGTGTGGATATAGTCCCTGCTAACAGGTTCATCCTGATCAGCCAGAGAAGGGAATAGGATCATGCTCTTTGTGCTGTGCTACCATCACTGCTGAGTCTTCTGCCTCCAGCCAGTCCTGCACAGTGTGTATGTATACATATATGTGCACATCCCATATACATGTATATTTTTACATGCGTGAGTACCTGTTTGGGGTTACAGGCTCAGGCTTGCTACTGGCTGTACCTGGGGACGTGGAACTGAGCAGCCTCTTCTCCATCAGGCCAGTTCATTCAGCAGCTCCTCACAGTTGAAGTTGGAAGGGACCTCCCTGCTCAGCGCAGGGTCAACCACAGCAGGTTGCTCAGCCATGTACCCTGGTAAGCTTTTTAATACCTCCAAGGGGGAGAGCTCCACAGCCTCCCTAGGTAACCTGCTCCAGTGTTTAACAACTCTCACAGTAAGTTGTTTCTTACCTTCAAATGGAATTTGTTGTATTTTGACGTGTTCCCACCACCGCTCCTCTTTTCACAGGATACCACCAAAGAGTCTGGATCCCTCTTCATTCCCTCCCATCAGGTATTTACATGCCATGGTAAGAGCCACCCAAACCATCTCATCTGGAGGCTCAACAGTCCCAGCTCTCTCAGCCTTTCCTCATGTGTCAGATGCCCTAATCCTTTCAAAATCATAGTGACCTTTCACAGGACTTGCTCCAGTAAGTCTGTGCCCTTCTTTGGACTGGGGAACCCAAAATTGGACACAATGCTCCCGGTGGCTGACAAATGCTGAATAAAGGGGAAGAACTGCCTCCCTCCAGCTACTGGTGATGCATTTGCTAATGCAGCACAGATACTGTTGGCCTCCTTTGCTACAAGGGCATGTTACTGGCTGAAGTGCAGCTTACTGCTTGCTGAGACCTGCAAGTCCTTCCCTGCAGAGCTGCTTTCCAGCCAGTCAGCACCCACCACGGACTGGGGCTATTCCTCCCCAGTTGCAGGACTCTGCCTTTCCCCTTTGTTCAACTTCAGGAGTCTCCCCTTTTGCCCTTTCTCCCGTCTGTTAAGGTTCCTCTGAAGGGCAGCACAACTCTCTGATGTATCAGCCACTCCCAATTTTCTTATCACCTCCAAGGATAGGCTAAAGTTTACGTATGTGTGACACAAGCTCATAATCTTGTGCCAGCCTCATGGGGGGCTTATCTTCTAGCCTGGGTATCTGCCGTATAGCAACTTTATTATCTGTACTTCACGTGAAAGACACCTATTACTAAGAGTGAACTTACTGATAGACTAACAAGACTCACAGGAAGAGCTTATCTTATCAGCTGTATCCCTTACTACAGTTGCAGTGACGTGAGCAGCTGATATAGCCATGGTTCCTCGTGTGTACTCCACCACTGCTCGTGTTGAACGGACACCTGCCTTCTTGCTTACAGGTCTTTAGAGCTCTGCTCCTTAACTCCTCTGTCATTTATGGGTAAGCAAGAACCTTCCCAGGAGCAGGAGTGTTAATTGATAGCCTTAAGAATTCGGAGCATTGTACAATTATACAAACACTGATAGCTATCTACAGCAAGTAACTGATTGCTGCATGACTAGCACTCACCTTCTTCACCAACCTTCATAACCTACACTTAGCTCAAGCACTGAAAAATACACCTTGAGGTGACTACGCTTCACAGGTATAAGAAAGACATAGGAAAACTAGAGAGACTTTTTTCCTCCCTCCCCACCCCAGACACTCTGTTCTGCAGCAGAAGGAACCAGTACTCACATGCATTTAGACCTTATCAATGCCTACAAGTATCTCAAGGGAGGGTTGAAGGAGGAGGGAGCCAGACTCTTTTCAGTGGTTCCCAGTGAGAGGACGAGGGGCAACGGGCACAAGTTGGAACATAAGAGGTTCCACTCAAATATGAGGAGAAACTTCTTCACGGTGAGGGTGACAGAGCCCTGGAACAGGCTGCCCAGGGAGGGTGTGGAGTCCCCTTCCTTGGAGATTTTCAAGACCCACCTGGATGCTCCTGAGTAACATGCTCTAGCTCTGGGCAATCCTGCTTCAGCAGGGGAGTTGGACTAGATGATCTCTATGGTCCCTTCCAACTCTAAATTCAGTGAAATTTCATTAAACTACAAGCAGTAGCTTCTAATATTTCTCATGGTTCAGGGGGTAAACACAGAAGCTGTAAAAAGATGGACTTGGGTAATGGGTGGATACAGCTGTAACTGGGCTTACAGGAAAAAGTCTGAAGTGTCCAGCTGCGTGTGTATCTTTTAATCCTAATGCAACTGCATTTCCACATGAAATCTGCAGTTAAATGGACAAATAACCATTGGCTGAAACGACTAAACCCTGCTGGAACTTGTAACGTGCTATAGCAAAGGTCCTGCTCATATTTGAAATAAGCCAGAGAACTCCAACACAGCCTGCCCTGCCACAGGTTTATTTACAAAATATTATTTACAGTCTATAATTGTCTTGAGCTCTGATAAATAATAACATTTCCTCCATAGAGAAGGAATAAGACAGACCACCTACACATTTTTCTGTTACAAATACCCTATCCAGCCAAACAACACTATTGTCTCTTTTAAAAAGGGGCAGAGGAAAATGGGTATGTAAAGGGTTTTCTGTCCATGGCACAAGTAAAGGTATCGAGCAGGTTGGAGAGATGTACATCTCCCGGCTGAAGTGTGCTTGTGCAAAACAGCAAGGTGCTGAGCTTACAGGATCACACAAGTTACAGCAGGGTGTGCTGCTACTCCCAACTTCTCCTCCAAAGAAAGAAGTACACCACCAGTTGGTGTTTAAGGCAAGAATAGCTGAATTAACAAAACAAAACAAAACAAACACATATCCCTTACCAGGAGCCTCGTGAAAGACTGAATAGTTTGTTGGTGTTGTGAAACAAGGCAGACAGAAGGCTGCTGAAGTGAGAAGGGATGTAGGCCAAGGAGCCAACGGGCCCAGTCTCTCCATCTCTGTGTCCTTGTGCGTGTTCTCTGAATGGCCCAGTCTCCCTGAACCCTCATCTCCAAACTTAAAACATTATCCACTGCCTCCAACTCACTCTGTATGTATCCTTACGTTTCCGTGTGATATACTGAGGGTCTGAAACTCCAGTATGTGGACTAGAGGGATGACTTATTGCTGCACAGAACGGGCTACGGAAGAGACAGGGCTGAGAACAGTTTCTAAGACCAGTGCTCTGAAACATACTGGTGGCCACTGTAGAGCCGAAGCAAAGGGCAACAGAAATGAGAGCAGGTGGTGTTGCCTCAGAAGCCTTTCCAGTTCTGGTTGTTTTGCTTTGCTCGTCCCAGTCACTCATTTGGAAGCAATTGCCATAGGAATGATTCCAAGTGATATCTGGTAAGAATAGGCATTTAGCAAGCTCAAGAGAGCAACGGCTGATCACTCCTTAAAGCCTTGGATGCTACACAGGATCCTCTTCTGGTGGCCTGGAAGTGACACTCCCATCTGTTTCAAGTCCCTGAAGGAAACGGGAAAGGAAAGGAAAAAAATTAATTGCTGTTCTTGTTTCTTGGGGATTGGGACGTGGATAAGAGCAGAAGCAGTTACCAAGCATCAGTTCAGAAAGCTTACTTTCCCTCAGTGCCTCCTACTATGCCGACCTTTTCTCTAGAGGGAAGAAACTTCTAGAAGTTCCTGCCCTTCTCTGGCTACCTCTGCCCACCCACTCAATTGGCTTGTCCCACCTCCTGACTGGGCCTGTGCTCCCATTATATCATGACTGTGTCCATGTCAGCTTGTGAAATGGGACGTGTCTCAACCCTTTAGCAGGCCTGTCCCTGCACTGTGCCTGCTTGTTTGTTTCATGTAACTGCCCTGGTTGGAGCTGGCTGTACATCCCCAACCCACAGCAGAACACGGCTGTGTTGGTAAAGCATCTGAGCTGAGGCCTTTTAAGGTGCCCAGAAGGACTTTATGACAGAACAGTGTCTGGCTGATGGTGGTGGTGGGGGAATAATGCTACCCCATCCTGAATTCAAGGCAAGAAAATTATCTTATGAAGTCCTACAAGGGTGAGGAGTTGGTTCATGTTAGAGAACTGTCTGGCCTCTATGGCTTTCCCTTGCTGTTTGTGTCTGATTGGGGTTCTTTACTGTGAGGGTGGTGGAGCACTGGAACAGGTTGCCCAGGGAGGTGGTTGAGGCCCCTTCCCTGGAGATATTCAAGGAGAGGCTCGATGAGGCCCTGGGCAACCTGGTCTAGTTGGGGGTGTCCCTGCTGACTGCGGGGAGGTCGGACTGGATGACCTTTGGAGGTCCCTTCCGGCCTGGGCAATTCTATGATTCTATGATAGGAGTTCAGAGCAGCTCAGACCCCTGAAGAGCCTCAAGCATGGACAGATGGGGAATTAGTCTCACAGTTTGGGCTGATTCTTCCCTTTTAGGGCAAGAAGCCAGAGAGAAGGATGGAGAGAAGCCTTCCAGGTGTGCCTGTTGAGATAGATAACACAGGGACAGACACAGCTAGTTGTAGCATAGCCCAGGGTGCCCTGTGGGACCTTAGCCTGTCCTTACTCAGCAGTGAGCTCCAGAATGGACTCCATGGTGTCCAGGCCAGCAGTGCGGAAGTTGGAGATGTAGCGCTTCATGCGAATGGATTCCAGCCACTCGGGGATGGATCGATAGGGGATCCCGTCGGAGCCGCTGCAGCTGGGGAGCCGCAGCG